AGATGAAGGTGTCAGTGGAAGGGGACTGGTTGGGCCTGTGGGAGAGGAAGAAGAAGAGGGCTTTTAGGCCATCTGTGTGGGGAATGCATGTGTATAGGGATTGGATGTCCATGATGATGAGGTGTTGGGGATCCAGGGAATTGGAAGCCTTGGAGGTGGTGGAGGGCGTGGGTGGTGTCACGGACATAGGTGGGGAGTTCCTGGACCGGGGGGAGAAAATAGAGTAGAGATAAGTGAAGTTTGTTTGGTGGGGCAGGAGCAGGCAGAGACAGTGGGTCGGCTGGGACAGTCAGGTTTGTGGATTTGGGGAAGGAGATAGAAACGGGCGGTGCAGGGTTAGGGAATGATGAGGTTGGAGGCTGTGGGTGGGAGGTCACCTGAGGTGATGGATGGTTTGGGAGATGATGTTTTGGTGGTCAGGGGTGGGGTCATGATTGAGGAGGTGGAAGGAGGAGGTATCAGAGAATTGGCACCTGGCCTCGGCGATGTAGAGGTCATTCCACCATACTACCCTCCCACCACCACTGCCCCCCCCCCCCCCCGCAATGAGGTCTTGGGGTGGTGTCCAGGAGGATGGGGTGTGTTGGAGGTGGGAGAAGGGGCCTGTGGCTATCCCTCACCTCTTCCTGCGCTACATCGCTGACTCGTGCTCGCACAAGGCGCTTGAACAGCTCATCAACTTTACTAACACCTTCTACTCCAACCTCAAGTTCACCTGGACCATCTCTGATGCCTCTCTTCTTCCTGGACCTGTCCATCTCTGGTGACCACCTGGAAACTGACACCTATTTCAAGCCCACCGACTCCCACAGCTACATAGACTACACCTCTTCTCACCCACCTTCCTGCAAGAAGGCGATCCCCTACTCCCAATTCCTCCGCCTCCGCCGCATCAGCTCCCAAAATGAGGTGTTCCACTCCCAAGCATCCCAGATGTCCTCGTATTTCGAGGACCACAACATCCCCCCCCCCCTCCTTCAGTGGTCGAAAATGCTCTCAACCGCATCTCTGCCTTCACACCCCCTGCCCACAATAAAAACAAAGACAGAATCCCCCTTGTCCTTGTGTATCACCCCACTAACCCCCGGATTCAATGCATCATTCTCTGACACTACTGCCACCTGCAATCTGACCCCACAACCAAGGATATATTTCCCTCCCCACCCTTACCTGCCTTCCGTAGGGACCGCTCTCTCCGTGACTCCCTCGTCCACTCCACACTGCCCACTAGCCCCACCATCCCCAGCACCTTTCCCTGCCACCACAGGAAGTGCCTACACCTGCCCCTACACTTTCCCCTCACTTCCATCCAAGTACCCAAAAAACCTTCCACATCTGACAGATGTTCACCTGCACATCAGCTAGTGTGGTCTATTGCATCCGCTGCTCCCGGTGTGGCCTCCTCTACGTCGGTGAGACCAAGCTGAGGTTCGGAGACCGCTTTGTAGAGCGCCTGCGCTCAGTTCACGACAAACAACACCTTCCAATCGTGAACCACTTCAACTCCCCCTCCCACTCCCTGGGCAACACATCCATCCTGGGTCTCCTCCAGTGTCACAACACCACCCAGAAACTGGAGGAGCAGCATCTCATTCTGCCTTGGGAGCCTACAACCCAATGGTCTCAATGTAGATTTTACTAGTTTCAAAATCTCCCCACCCCCAGTCTCATCCCATGACCAACCCTCCCTCTCCTCCCCACCTCCTTGAGCTGACACAACCTGTCTGTCTTCTCTCCCACCTATCCGCTCCTCCTACCTCACTGACCAATCCCCACCACTGCCTACCTGCACTCACCTACCACCATCCCACCTACCTTCCCCAGCCCCACCCCTCCTCTCTATTTACATCAGAGCTCCCTTCTCCCTCCCCCATTTCTGAAGAACAGTCGCAACCCAAAACGTCAGCTTTCCGGCTCCTCTGATGCTGCGTGGCCTGTGTTCCTCCAGCTCCACGCTGTGTTAACTAGAATCAGAGATAGTATTAACTGGGATTTAGAAATGTACAGATTAAATCCAGAATATTCCATGTGGCTTTCTTAAGGGAAAGTTGGGTCGTACTAGCTTAATTAAATATTGGAGGAAATAACAAGGATTGATGAGTCTAGTGCAATACATGTTGTCTACAAAGATTTTAGTAAGAATTCAACAAAGTCCCACATGACAGACAAAAAAAAACGCATGGGAGTGTTGAGTGTAGATCCAAAATTGGCCGTGACCGGAAACAAGGGCCATTGTTAAACAGATTTTTAATGAATTGAAAGCAGTTTCCAGCAATGTGCCACATGACTCAACATATTTTGTGGAATATATTAAAATGATGTAGAATTTAAGAAGGAGGCATGATATTGAAATTTGCAGAAGACAAATTGGCTATTACCAAAATGGCTGTCAACTGTAGGATGTCAATGGTTTGGTTGAATGGGAAGTGGCAAATGGAATTCAAACCAAGAGATGAGAGGTTATACAATGGAGGAAGGTAAACAAAGCAAGAGAATACACAATAAGTGGAGGGTACCGATAGGGGTACAGGAAAAGAAAGACCTTGGAGTTCAGGTACATAGCTCCCTTCAAGGCCACAGACTAGGTGCTGGTTTATTCAGCTCGCAGAAACATAATCGACTGACTAGCTCTTTCTGTGCTGTAACTTTATGGCTCTGGTAGAGGCAAGACACAAGCGTCAGTTCATGTAGAATACCATGACAGGAATGAAGAAAATGGATGGAGGAGCACAGGATCTTCTTGGATGGAGTAGTTAAATCATGGTTTCCCCCATCCATTGTTCACCTTGCAATCTTTTTGCCTATCTTTGTTAAACTAAGCTTTTAAGCATTTTTAATAATGTAGCTAGCTGGTACCTCAAAATTGTACATTTTTAATAGCCAGATTTTTAACTCCAACCACAGCACAACTAATTTCATCTCCACATGGAAACTACTTTCTGCCATAAATCAAACTCTTCCAAGTGGACTGAAATTTAGTTTACAAAAAGTTACTACATTCAATAATTGCAGTTTCAGGTTTCAGCTCTCAAAAGAGAACGTCAGATACCGAACCTTAACATAATAACAATAATAATAACAATAATAACAACAATAATAATAACAATAATAATAACAATAATAATAACAATAATAATAACAATAACAACAACAACATCAGATGGGTATTTTGCTCAACAACTCAAGCCTTTCCACAATTTGAGCCATGGAGAGTTTAGAACAATGTTGAAAACCCAACTACAGAACGGGTTACTTTAGATCCAGTACCATTTGAGTCAGGGTTAATTAGCAACTTTATGGTAAAATTCCTCTGGGGGCAGTGAGTCTATGAGAAGGATAAGCGATCACGAAAAAAAAAGAGAGAAATTGTTGGACAGTGAAGTAAGCACACAATTGCTCAGATCATCTTGTTCCAGATTGTCAAGACCCGACATACACTGAAAAGGTGTTTAATTGAGACCCTCAAAAATCCCAAGGCTGCCTGGGTAATTGCAGGTTGAAATTTCCTGGGCAATGAGCCATTACCTGGCATTTGGGACCTTTTTAAAAAAAAAAACTAGAGTTGGAACGTTTCAAGTTATCTGAATAGTTATCCGGGGAGGTGGCGGGGTGAGGTGGGGTTAAAAAGCAAGAGGGGAATTAAGCGCTGCTCCATCTTCAAGGGATCGAAGGTCTATTAGACTGAGTAAATAAGTCTTATAGCAGTGATTAGGTGGATATATTCCATGCAATTGTGCAAACTAAGTTGTCAAAGTATTAGTTAGCAGGGTAAAGAAGGGAAGTTGTACATTTAGATTTTTAAGGAATTTGTTAAGTTCCATGAAAGATTTGTACAGAAAATTCACACAATATATTAGCATGAATAGAGGATCATTTCTACTGATTTATATCCACTAATTAAACAGATCATTTTTAGGGTTGAACTAACAGCTGCTAAAAAAGATTGAAGCTTGGACCTTATCTGTGTTATAAATCCAACTTAAAAAACAGTTAGGTAGGAAAGTAAGCAGTAAGAAAAGCACACAAAGGTCACAAGAGGATGAGGAATCAGATAAGTGGTATAGGGAGTATAATGTGGGGGAGTTATCAAGAATGGATAAAAAAAATCTTAAAAAGTGCAACCATTGGAGTTCAAAACAATTTCTGCTCCTTGAATGCAAGTCATAACATTAACATATAGGAACAGCAAGCAAAAAAAAAGACAGACGAATGGTATCAGAGATAGTAGGAACTGCAGATGCTGGAGAATCCGAGATAACAAGGTGTAGAGCTGGATGATTTCTGAAGAAGGGTCTACGCCCGAAACGTCAGCCTTCCTGCTGTGTTCATCCAGCTCTACACCTTGTTATCTCGAAGACAAATGGTATATTTGATACCATTGTTCCAAGATCACAGGTCAAGAAGGTGGTTTGTCTCCAGAGTAGAAGTGCCCAGCTTGACAGCATTGACTGAAAAGCAGAGAACTCAGAACTTAAAAATATAACTGCAATATTCATTCCTACTGAAGGCATCCAAGAAACTAACTAATTAATGAACCAAAGTCTCATGTTAAAACCTCACACCTTTGTACTGAAGCACGCTCAAAGAAGTTTGCCCACATTACTGCACAAAGGCAGTATGCTTCACATTGCAAATTTACAACAAGGCAACAGACTTGTTCTACAAATCAAGCAAACTACAATTGGCTCTTTATCATCATTTAAAATAAACAGAATTATAGCCACATGGAAGTTAACTAGGGCCGTGTTGTTATTAACCAAGAAGGCGGCTGAAAAGAAAGAGTTCACCCCTGCTCACTGTTGTTCAACATCAAATTTACTATCTACCCTTGCCTCTCTTCTTGGTTTATACTGCCTCCTGCACCCCTCAATTTTGCTGCAACGAAGCACTTTGACAGAATTGCAGTGAAAGGAACTAGTTTAAAGAATCAAAATTACTTGTCCTAACTTCAGTGGGAAGCAGAGTCAAATTCGCTGGTACAAGATGAAAGGCCAACTCACAGATATAGGTTTTCTCCCTTCACTAGTAATTCTCCTATCCTGGACTGCAGTCTCCACTCGATATGGTTTACTGTTCGTCTTGGAAAAAACAGGGCTTAAAACAAAACAAGAAGAGGGGAGTGAGAGATATACAAGTTACAAAAAAAAAGTGTAGAGATGTGCATAATGTCAAGACTGTTGAAAATACAGTATTTTAAGACCTGACATCGGTACCTGGGTGTCTCAGGAACTTCGAATTCTGAAGCATCAGAATCCATATCAAATAAATATCCTTTGTTCAAAGGATCAGGACTGAGACATTTTGTTTCGTCACAAGATTCATTTTCTTCCAGTCCATCCAAACTCTGATCCATGGTGTCTTCCATATTTTAAAGGAAAAAAAGTGGTTAAAAAACCCAAAGGCAATCCAGTCAAGTTGGAGCCCAATTGATTTTAACAGCTAACTGTAAACTGATTCCAATGCAATCCTCAGGATCTGCATTAAAACAAAAAGATGAACATTATCACAAATCAGGCTGCAAACTTGTTATCTCCATATTCTGACAATCACCATTATTAATAAAAATTGCACAAAAATCTTGTCTAACAAAGTATCAGGTTTTCTGATAACCATCTTGAGACTGTGGAGTTAAATATCCAATACGGCTGGTCTCTTTTAGGATGCCACCACATTAAGAAACACTCCTATTGTATAGGAAGTCATCTAGTAATGCTCCATGGCCAACTGGAACATGACCACTGAATTTCTGTGAAACTTCAAGGCTATAAGCATACAAACAAATCAGCTTCCAGTATCTCACAAAAGTAAGAACTGCAGATGCTGGAGTCAGAGATAACAACGTGGAGCTGGAGGAACACAGCAGGCCAGGCAGCATCAGAGGAGCAAGAAAGTTGACGTTTCAGGTCGAGACCCTTCTTCAGAAATTTAGAAGGGTCCTGACCCAAAACGTCAACTTTCTTGCTCCTCTGACGCTGCCTGCCCTGCTGTGTTCCTCCAGCTCCACGTTGTTATCTCAGCTTCCAGTATCTGCCAGATTCTTGCAGGTTCTGGGATTTCCACATCCCTCAACACTGCACCATGGAAAACATCGAGAAATGGCGACCTGATGGAAATGTCCCTGCATTAATAAGGGAGAGGCTTAGGCCACAGCAGCTGGCAGAATTTAGATTCTCATAGATAAAATCTGAAATTGAAAGCTGGTTGCAAATATCTATCTGGCTCCCAAGTACCCTTTAAGGCAAGGAATTCAACCATCTTTACCCAGTCTGGCCTATGTCACTCCAGACCCACAGCAATGTCATTGACTCTTAACTGAAATGGTCCAGTGCGTCACTGCTAATAGGGCAATTAGAGATGGACAACAAACCCTGACTGTATCAGTCACACCCAGAGCACATAAAAATGTGATTTTAGAAAGGGAGTTATCTAAGCAAGTACAGCCAGTAAGCATACTATATCTGATTCCAGTAAAAATATCCTGCATGCTATACATTTATTGTAACTTAGTGGTTCGGATTCACGCAGTTGGCTGGATTGCTGGTGAGCAATGCAGAGTGATGCCAATAGCATGGGTTCAACTCCTGCACCAGCTGAGGTTATCATTAAAACACCCCATTTCATCCCTTGCCCAAAGCATGGTGACCCTCAGGTTAAATCACCAGTCATCTCTCTAAATGAGAGCAGAGTCCTATTGTCTGGCAGCACTTTGACAACTATTAGACTTCTAATAGTAGTCAATTTCAATTAACATTTAATAATTAATTCCAAACAAATTTCAAAATCTTTACCAGGGTAGTAAACAGACCCTTCGGTTCAACTCATCCATGTCAACCAGACATCCTAAAATTAATCTAGTCCCATATCCCTCTAAACTCTTCCTATTCATATATCCATCCAGATGCCTTTTAATTGTACCAGCCTCCACCACTTCCTCTGGCAGCTCATTCCATACACACAGTACCCTCTGCCCTAAAAACGTCACCTAATTCTATTTACAGCAAGGCATTCCTATCTTTAAGAAACAAGTCAGATTTGTCATGAGATGCAATTAGTGTCAATTTAGACATGGCAAAAAGGAGACAAATCAAAGACTTATGTCTTGCATCATCAGGCTTTAGGTTGCAAGAAAAGGAACACCAATTTAGACTGTGTGAGAAGTGGCTGCTGATCAGTTGGGCTATCTATGACATGCAAACACAGCAAGAATAGTTAACTGTCATTCTTGGATCTCAATCCAGGCAGGCAAACTAATTGGTCAGGGTATTGCCATCAGAACAGTGGAGATCAGTAGCCTCCATGACCTTATTCTTTCATGAAAAGGGTGCAAAGTTCCTTTTACCCATGTGAAAGAGGGTATTGTGTACTTGTAGATCTATTGCCTAGCACGCACAAATACTGCATGACCAAATGATGAGCATGAATCGTTTTCCGATGTAATTCTTAGCACAGGTTGGATTATTCAAGTGATTAAATCACATCTACCATTCCGATGTTTACCAGCACATGACGATTAAGCACAAATCAGCCTGCTGCCCAGTGAATGGTCAGCAGGACATGCAGTTTGATGCACTCGGTCAATTATTCAGACACATGGCCTACATAAGTGGCTTCACACCAACTCCCATCATGTTATTCATGGTAGGCAAAAAAAAAACACTTTTGTTTGACAGCAGTATCCTGTTGGAGAAAACTACTCGTGGGCATACCTACCACAAATGATAACAGGATGCTGACAGCAGTTACTTATTTACAGACAAATTCATACACATTTTCATTAAATGAATATAACAGACCGTCAATCTGGCATTCCAATGACAACACCCTGGCCAACCAGTACCTACCTGGTAGGAGTGTGACAACTGACAGTTAACATCTCCTATACCTGCTACATCCCCATGCCAACTATGGCCCAACTAATGTAGTGATGCTGTCAGAATTACTGTCCCTTCCCAGCACCTTATCACAAGGCCTTCTTCACCACTGGCAAACTCCTCCTCCGTCCAACATCCCAATTCCCCAACCACCCCTACTCCTTCTCCAACCCAGCACAGACTCCCTCCCACTTTGATAGTACAAGGGTACCAGACCAAGTTAGCACTACTCTTGAGCTTTAAAAGAAGTGACCAAGAGAGGTTACTAGTTACCAATGAGCTGAAGAGGATAATGTCAACAGAACGTTTGCTACTTACTGCACACAAAGACTATAACTACAGAGTTATTTAAAAATCAAATAAGGACATACAGATTTTGTTGCCAAGTGGACACTACACTGCAACAGGAAGTAGGTCAAACAGTTTAGATGCTTCCAGAAACAAAGCAGACAAGTGCACAAGTAAAAAAAAAAAATGTACTGAAAAGCCAACACACCTGGTGCACAAGCACGCAGCATAGACTGGTTGGGCCAGTCAGTATGCACTGTATACAACACTTATTTCACCATTCACAAAACTACACACTGACAGAAGCAACAAATAAAATTCAATTTTCAGTGAACACACTGCATAGTTGGCAAGGCCCAATCTGCCTTTGCTCTTAGAAAGCAGGGGCCTCCAGTATCTCTACTATTACATACTTTCCTTAAGCAATGAGATTAGCAGGTCATTCAAACACAAGCAGTTTGAGAAATCATTTCTATGACAGGACTATATATTTGCCCCAATTTAATAGCTGAAACTACATTCCAAACAAGAGTCATATGGGACTCCATGATAATTTTCTTTGTCTTTCCACTGCTGCTGCCAGACAGCTGATTTCTGTTTGTAGTTTCTATTTTCATTTCAGATCTCCAGCATCTCAATTTTACAATTGAGCAAGTACTGAAGAACAACACGTGGAACTTGCTAAAACAATTTTTAAAAGCTGATCAGCTTGTAGCACCTTCTTTAAATTCCTTCAACATGGTCACCACCCTCCAGCTTGGTCAGGGAGGTGTGTGTGTGGGGGTGGCACACTACCACCCCCACCCAGCCTGGTCCAGGGTGGCACAC